GGTCCCCTGAGCACCACCAGGGGTAATTCCTGAGTGCATGAGACAGGAGGAACGCCAGATGTGACCCAAAAAGCCAAAAAAAAAAAAAGACTCAGTGAAAAAATATTGAGACAGGGTAACTTAAAAAGATCATTTGCTTCTGAAAGGCTGTATTTCCACAAATAACTCTCAACGTCCTGTATTGAGACTCCCTGCAAGAAAACCCAGTCTGGAGTACGGTAGAGACGATACCTGTTTTCTGAGGAGTCCTGACTACCTTGCGACTCACATACATGTAATAATAACTCAGCTGAAATCCCTTCCTATGCATGGTTGCCTCCTAGAAACAGAGACACAGTTAAATCGAAACGATCAAGTATGTGGAACGAGTGATATGAAAAAAAAGTCTGATGATGAATCAGTCTGCTCAATGCGAGCAAGGCCTCAGAGTCAGGTTGTATAACCTGTTCCGTGAGAGAAATAACAATCAAAAATTTTTTTCCTTTCCACGAATCAAGGGACCAGGAACTGCAGCTCTTTTTCTCCTCGGAAGAGGCGTCTCTGGAGACTCGCGCTTCCAGCCCGAGCTCAGCAGGGCCCTTCTCCGAGCCCCTCAGACGGCCCGAACGCCCAACCAGTCTGTTTCCAGGCACAAAGGCGGTTCCGCGCTGCCTTCTCCGGAAAAGCGCCGCGCGGAGCTGGGTCGCCTCAGCCCCAGAACACCACCAGGTCCAGGCGCCTCTCCGGGGTTCGCTGAGGAAAACCTTCCTGTTCTCACTCCGGAAAGTCGGGCTCCGGTGGTTCCCCTCCCGTCCCGGGTCTCCCTAGCCCCCCCACCCCCGCCCCCGTTCTGGAAGCTTCCACGTGCTTCTAGAGCCTGACCCCTCGGGCCATTCCAAGGAGGGCTGCCTGGACTTTTCCGACCCTCAGCGCTGCGGCTCGGCTCCCCCCGGGTCCGTCGGGCGCTTTTTTCCCCCTTTTCGGACCCGCGGCCGCGGCAGGGCAAAAGCCGGGCCCGGCTCCGCGTGGTCCTCGTCGGCTCCCGGCCCCCCGGCGCGGGCTGCCATGGTAACGGGCGCCGCCGCCGCCCCGCCAGGCGGAACCAGCGAGCGGCGGGGCCGCGCCCGGGGAACGGGGAAGCGACGGCCACCAGACCCGGGCCTCGAGTGCGCGCGCGGGCGGGCCGCAGCCGCCGCGCAGGCGCTCCGCGAGCCGCGCCCTCTGCCCTCTGCCCTCCGACCTCCCGGCGCCCCACCCCCTCCCCGGCTCCCCCGGCTCCCCCGCCGCCGCCGCCGCCGCCGCCGCCGCCTCCGAGCGGCTCTTCCGGCCTGGGAGGCGAACGCTTCCGGTTCGCGGCGGTTCCCGGCTGCCGCGTTCCGCGCCCGGCCGGAAACCCTCTCGCTTGGCCGCCGGTTCCGGTTCGGTGAGTGGCGGCGCGGGAAGCGGAGACGGGGGCAGGGAGGGGAGGGTGGCGGCAGCCGGGAGCCCGGGCGGGGGCGGGGCCGCCGGGGCGGGGGGGCTGCCCGGACCCGCCCCCGGGACCCCCGCCCTCCCCGCCGCGCCGGCCCGGCCGTTGGCGGCGGCCGCTCCTCGGGTCGCAGCCGCAGCCGGAGCCGGAGCCGGAGCCGGCGGGCCGGGCGTTCCCGCCAGAACGGGCCCCGGGGTCGCGCTGGGGGATCCAGGGCGCCGGAAGCCCCCGCCGCCCCGGACCCGCCGCGCCGCCGCACGTAAGCGCCCCCCGCCCGCCCCGCGTACCTGTCGCATCGCCCCCTCGCCGGGCCGCCCGACCGCCCCCGGCTGGCCGTCCCCGAGTGCGGTCCCGGGGCAGGGGCCAGCCCCCCGCCCGCCCGCCCGCCGCGCCCCCGCTATCTCGCCGGCCGGCGCAGCCGCCTTTATTATCGCCCCGGACCCGGCCTCCTCCTTATCGCCCCCCGCGGGGCGAGCCGGCTTCCTCGGGGTGGGCGTCCCTGTCCGGGCTGGGTCGGCGGGAAGGGCCACTTGTGCGCGCCCCCGAAAAAGGACTCGCCGAGACACCGGTGTGTCCTGGGCTGCTCTGGGCGCAGGACCCTCCCCGGCCCGGCCGCCACGCACCTTCCCCCGTCCTGGCCCGTGGGAGCTTAACTGGGTTCTGAGCTGAGTCCTAGGGAATTCTCCTGCTGGACAAAGCGTCTCGGCAGAGCCCCTCTCTGGTGGATTTAAGTCTGAAAGCAGTGAGGTGGATTAAAAAAAACAAAACAGGTTCCGCCGGCTGCTTCGGGCCCAGGTGATGTAATTCCAGACTGCTGCCTCCGAAGGTCGTCCTCCTCCTCCTCCTCCTCCTCCTCCTCCTCCCCCTCCTCCCCCTCCTCCCCTGACTCCCACATCTCCTACCAGTTGCACCACCGGCTCTGTTGTCTGTTCGTGGATACGGTTTCCCAGCCCCACTTTCCCAGTTCTTATTTCTCTTTGTAGTTCCAGTGTTCTCTTTACGATTACGGACAGTGACTGTTTATGAAAGAAATGAAACACTTAGGGGTCAAGGTGTCAGAGTGTTAAGGTGTTTCGAGGCTACTTGGCAGAGATTCCTTGTTAAAAGGTGAAAATCAAGCACATACATGATCGTTTAGCACGGATTTATGTATTTGTTTCCTGGGGTACAGGGTAGAATTATATGATCACTTTTATACCTTTCTAATATAGACTGTTATTCTGGGGGGGAACATATGGGATGCTGGGAATCAAACCCAGCTTGGCCGTGTGCAAGGCAAACGCCCTCCCTGCTGTGCTCTTGCTCCAGCCCTACATCTTGATAAAGCTCATCGTAAAGGCCTCTGATGTGTTTTGTAGGAGCTGTATTATAGCTATAAACATCCTCTTTGCATGTTTGTAAACTTCTACGTGTTTAACTGCACAAGATTTTTTACAAAAAGGACCTTGCTTTTTTCTGTTGTATTCATCTACTAACCTGACTACATCCAAGTACCTGTTTCTGCTTTTTACTCTTTCAATAAAATAAATGATTTAGGAAATGAATTCTTAGAAGAATTTTTGTGAATCAAAATAGATTTTATCCAGACTTACTGAGAACAATGTGAGGGGAAAGAAAGAAGTGTGTTCACGAGAGAGAACACAGGCTTCTCCAGCATGGAAGGAAAAAAGCAAGCACAGAAACATAAAAGCCAGCAAGTGAGATACAAATTCAAGGGAGAACCCTGGCTTCAAGAGAAAGATATAATTTTCACGAAATTGAAAATTTTTTCTGCTCGCAAGAATTGGTGGCATTAATGATTCCAGATCCAACATTTTTCATTCAATCTTGTAAAATATCCCGTTCCCCAGTGTTTCTGCAAAGTACCATAAACACACTGAAGAAACTGAATGTCTTTGTTTTAAATATGTAAGTGTGGGTTTTCCGGAGCTAGCAAGAGATTACTTTTACCTTGACAAAGTGGATCCTTTAAGATATGCTAAAGGATGTGAAGTTTCTTAAGCACATTTGCTTGGGAGTCAAAATATTCTCATCTTTTTCATTCATTTGCTCTATCTAAAGTGATTTCCAGCAAGTCACATAGCTTCTGGGCATCATCTCTAAAATTCTTTGATTCCTTGTTTGCCTCTCTTTACTTCTCCCTCAGCAATGCAAAGAAAGTTAGAGTGGGATTGTTCTACAGACCACCCAGATTTTAAATTGACCTTACTAATACAACAACAAACATCCAGTGACAACAATCAGGAAATGACCCAAGTGAAATGTGAAAGCTCCAGCTAGTTTATTGACAAAACTCCCCCCCCACACACACACTCCCATGTTTTGAGACCCAGAAAATTCTTTTATTTTTTAAGAAAAAATTAACAGGCAGAGAGCTCTTTGGTAAAGGCTTGCCTAGCATGTGGCTGACTGGTTTAATCCCCTGCACTGCATATGGTTCTCCCAAGTATTGCCGGGAGTGATTCTTGAGCCTAGAGCCAGAAGTAAACCCTGACGACTGCTGAATGTGGCTCAGTCCCACCCCCATGCCCACCCCCAAATGAAATAACCTGAAGATTTTCCACATAGGCGTCTTTGTTCAGTTAAATATCTAGAAATGTTTTTGAAGCCTAAATCCAAGGTTAAATTCTTTGGAAATTTGCCCTGAAAAGACTAGGTTATCAGATGATATCTCTCTTAGCCTGTAGTTAACATCATAAAATAATTAAGACAGCTTTTGTAAAACTCCCTTTCAGGGACTGGAGCAATAGTACGGTGGGTAGGGCATTTGCCTTGCATGCTGCTGACCCGGCTTCGATTCCCAGCATCCGTTAGGGTCCCCTGAGCACTGCCAGGAGTGGGAGTAACCCCTGTACATCGCCAGGTGTGACCCCCCCAAAAAAAATTCCCATATATTTAAAACTTCTCTTTGGGCTGGAGTGAATGGAACAGAAGGTAGGGGGCTTACCTTGAGCTGGGCCAGCCTGTGTTCTGCCCTCAGTACCATATCAGATCACATATGGTCTCTTGAGCCAGCCAAGTGTGATCCCCAAGTGCAGAGCTAGTAGTAACCCTTGAGTACCTCCAGGTATGTACCCCAAACAAAGTTCTCTTGAAATAATACTGGTGTATAACATTACGTAGAATTTATAACATGTACATCATTGTAAATCAGCATTTGTATATTCTATAGCACAGCGGGTAGGGCGTCTGCCTTGCATGCAGCCAACAAGGCCGACCCGAGTTCGATTCCTCTGCCCCTCTCGGAGAGCCCGGCAAGCTACCGAGAGTATTCGATATGCCAGACACAGTAACAACAAAGTCTCCAATGGAGACGTTACTGGGCCCACTCGAGCAAATTGAAGATCAACGGGAGGGCCTTTACTTTTACTTTTTAATTTTGTGATCTTAAGCAACGAAATATCTAAAGGGCTGATTTCTAATTTTTCTAATATTTTATGATTTTGCTGATAGTTTATATTTCTGTTTATATATTCTGTATAGCACTGGTTGCAGGAATGTTTGAAATCTACCTCAATCTAGTTTTAATTCCATTATCTTCTCATCAAGAAACTTCCTTTTATAATCATATTTTTTTCTACTATGAATTCACACCTCACTTTTGGGTAGCTTCCTTTTTTTTATAATACTATGAAGATGTTTTGTATGTAACATTTAGTTTCCTTCTTTTATAGGATTTTATATCATTGCTAAAAATCAGTGATGTGAAAAGACCTGACATGGGTAAGTCATTCATTCCTTTTAGTTGCTCTGATTAATTAAGCTGGAATAGAAGTGGTGTTTCCTATTATTTTCCATATTTGCATCTTTATGTTTAGTAATAATTTTAAGCGAGTTTGTTATGCAATACTGTTACCAAGAGCTTTCCTTTGGTTTGCCTTTCTGTAACAGCACTTTAAAGCATGTTGATAGTGTCACATATACAATACAAAATACTACATGCAGGCTTCTTTCTAAGTACTTAAACTACATTTATTCACTTAATTTTTAGGTGTCCATAATAGTACTTAATGTTGCAGGCATTATTACTATTCCATTTCTGTCAACAAGGAAACAGATTCAGAGGTTAGGAAACTTGCCTAGTATCACACAACTATGACTTCATTTAAATTTGGGAAACTTGGCTCCAGATTCCTTGGCCTTTATGTATGCTGCTGTACTGACTCCTATATGAAATTCATTTGATTAAGCCAAAAATAAATCTTGCTTTAATTTTGAGTTTATTTACACTTTTTATCAGTTCCAATCAGGAAGCAGCAAATCAGAAGTGGTTAGGAGTGCTCCTGATTAAGGTAAAGGTAAAGATAAAGGCCCTCCCGTTGATCATCAATTTGCTCGAGCGGGCCCAGTAACGTCTCCATTGGAGACTTTGTTGTTACTGTGTCTGACATATCGAATACGTCACAGGGAGCTTGCCAGGCTCTGCCGTGTGGGCGAGATACTCTCGGTAGCTTGCCGGGCTCTCCGAGAGGGGCGGAGGAATCGAACTCGGGTCGGCCATGTAGGCTGCGTGCAAGGCAAACGCCCTACCGCTGTGCTATCGCTCCAGCCCGCTCCTCCTGATTAAGGTAAATTTTAAATTTCACATTGCTAGTAAGATTGAGAATTTAGAATAAACATTTTCCACTATTCAGAGTACTTACTCATAGTCTGTAAAGAATAAATAAAAGGTCGGGACTAGTAACCATTCAAAATAGGTTGAAAAATCTATGCACTTAGATTTAAATTTACTATAGTCTTCTTTTACTTTATTTTCTTTTTCTTATTTATATTTTTTTCTTAGTTTAATCTTTTCTTTCCCCAGTCATTTGTTTTCTTTTTCCTCTCATTACCAATATCTGTGTAAGTCATTTGAGTTACTGAGTTCATTGTTCTGATTTTTTCTTTTTTTTTTTCCTTTTTGTGTCACACCTGGCGATGCACGGGGGTTGCTTCTGGCTCCGCACTCAAGAATTACTCCTGACAGTAGCTCAGGGTACCATATGGGATACTGGGAATTGAACCCGGGTCAGGTGCGTGCAAGGCAAATGTCCTACCCGCTGTGCTGTCACTCCAGCCCCAATGTTTTTTTTTTAATTGAATTTTGTGAGATCATTACAAAGCTGTTCATAACTGAGTTTCAGTCTTATAGTGATCCAGCACCCAATCACTCCACCAGTGTACATTTCTTCCCATCATCCCCAGCAAGATTCTACCTATATGGTGGGCACTTTTCTTCTTTCTCTTTTCCTTTTGTGCATTATGGTTTGCGATACAGTTACTAAGAGTTCATTGTGTTTGTTCAGGGCGTTCAGTATTTTTATCAGGAAGGTAAGGCTGGAGTAACTTTTTTAAATGGCTGGCAGCTTTGAGGTATGGACCTGACTGGCAAGACTCCAGAAGTACAGGGAAATGGGGGTAGATAGCCCATCCCAACCCTGAGAAAGGCCGGAGATTTCAGTCACAAAATCCAAATTATCAGCAGAATATATCTCAGTGAGGTCCATCCCAAGACGATGGAGTCCATTCAGGGGCATGGAGGCAATTTTGGATTGCGGAAGCAAGTAATTGCTGGAGGCTCTGCTTGGGTGGGCACCAGGTTGACCTGCTCCCCTCTGATTTGCCCTGGTCTGTTCAGCCTTTCGCAGGCCCAAGATTAACTGTGGATTTTGATCTCTTTCAGGATTTATTTATGGGTCTCTGAAGCAAGGCTGGTTGAAGAACTTATGGGAGTTAGTTCGTGGGAGTGACTGCCAGTGCTTCCAGGAGTACGGGCAAGTGGGGGGAGGTAGTCCATCTTGAACCTGAGAAAGCCTGAAGTTTCAGTCACAAAACCCGCATATCTGAATTTTCAGCAGATTATATCTCGGTGAGGTCTGTCCTGAGACAGTGGAGTCCGGCCAGGGGCAGGGCAGTGATTTTGGATTGTGGAAGCAAGTGACTGCCAGGTGCTCCGTATGGGCAGACACCAGGCAAACCTGTCTCCCTCCAGTGTACCCTGTTCTGTTCAGATTTGTGCGGGTCTGAGATTAACTTCAGCTTTTGATCTTTTTCAAGACTTATTTTTGGGTCTCTGAAGCAAGGCCAATAAATGAGCTCATATAGCTAAGCCAGAGTTGGTTTGTGGGTGAAGCTTCCACGTACCAAACTTTTAGCCCTTTAATTTCTCAGGAAACTTGGTCCCAAGTTTTTGTGGTTCGGCCAGAGGCACGGCGGCAATTTGGGGGGCTCAGGAAGCCTGGAGGCACCATCAGGCTGCTGACGCACTCCTTCCTTGGGTACAGGTTCACCTGCTGGAGGCACTGCACCGCCACTCTGATTTGTTTTTATAGCAACAAAAGATCTAAAAACATGGTTATAAAAAACAGTTGCTATATTATCACAGAAAATTGTTATCTGCTAAGAGCTGTAAGAACAAAATCATGCTATTTTCAGCAGCGTGGATGGAGCTAGAGTGGATCATGCTGAGTGTATTCAGAAGGAAAGGGATCGATACAGAATGATCTCTGTCATACCTGAGCTTAATGATACACAGCATGGTACAACAGAGGTCTATAGGCATCATAATGGGAGCTCTAACCTGCAAATTGAGTTGGTGGGAAAGAGTTGGGAGGGAGAGGGTTGATAAAATGATCTGCATGAGAAACTATTATTAATAGCATTATAAACAATTTGTAAAAAATGTTTAAAAGGGGGTGTGCTGAGATATACAGCCAGTAAGGTGCTTGCCTTGCTCATGGTTCACCCGGGTTCCCTCCCCAGCATCCATATATTTCCCTGAGCATGCCGGGAGTGACTCCTCTCTCCAACAAAAAAGAAAGGAAAAAATGTAGGACTGTCACAAAAACATCTTACGTGTCATATGAATAACTTTGACTTTTGCATAAAAATAATATTCAGCTCCATTAATTAAAAAGCTTTTTATTTTTTGGTTGAACCACTGAATTACATAGGTAAAGGTAAAGGTAAAGGTAAAGGTAAAGGCCCTCCCGTTGATCGTGGATTTGCTCCAGCGGGCCCAGTAACGTCTCCATTGGAGACTTTGTTGCTACTGTTGCTACTGTGTTTGGCATATGGAATACTCTTGGTGGCTCTCCGAATTACATAGTTGCAAAGTTATTCATGAGAGCACCAATTGCTTCACCGGTGTCTCCACTTCCTTTCCTGTCTCCCAGCTCGCTTCTGTGACAGACACTTTTTCTTTTTTCCTTTTAGGTACTATGGTTTACAATAGTTCACTGATAGGATATCATGCATGACTTACCAGCACCTACTCCTGGTCCAGAACGACCACTTTCCTCTCTCTTTGTCCTAGGGTTCCTTTTCTCACCTATCCCACCTCCCCCAACCACTAGGTTTGTTAATTTTTAAAGCATCTGTTTGAATTAAAATAAAGGAAAGAAACCAGTTTTATCACTAGTTTTTTCTTTCTTTTTGAAGGGTTTTGAGCCGCACCTGGCAATGCTCAGGGCTTACTACGGCCTCTGTACTCAGGCATCAACTCCTGGCGGGGCTTGGTTGAACCATGTTGGGTGCAGTGGATTGAACTTAAGTCAGCTGCATGCAAGGCAAACATCCTACCTGCTGTACTATCATCCTGGCCCTAACAACATTTATTTCTTAGTGCAAAACTTTATTTCCTTTGCCTTACATGAGGCCAACCCAGATTCAGTCCCCAGCACCACAGAAGGATCCCTAGCACTTCTAGGAGTGATCCCTGAGCACTGAACCAGGAGTAAACCCTGAACACTGCTAGTTGTGGCCTCCAAATAAACATGCAGTTAACATTTTTCTGGTACTTAAAGTATTAAAAGTACCTTTTTTTGAAAATTATTTTAAGAACTTGAACAAGTTATTTTGTATAAACTCAAAAATTTTGGAACATTTTAGATTTTTTCTTTTTTAAAATTTGAACTATGGACTGGAGCGATAGCACAGCGGTAGGGCATTTGCCTTGCACACAGCCAACATGGCTGACCCGAGTTCGATTCCTCCGCCCCTCTCGGAGAGCCCGGCAAGCTACCGAGAGTATCTCACGTGCGGCAGAGCCTGGCAAGCCACCGTGATGTATTCGATATGCCAAACACAGTAACAACAAAGTCTCCAATGGAGACGTTACTGGGCCCGCTAAGCAAATCGATGAACAATGGGAGGACCGTGATGTGATGCGAACTATTTAGTGGCTACTAGCAAACAGTTTTATATTCATTAGCTTCTGCACTTGGGTATCTTTTTATGACCAATGATGTTTCACAGTTTCTTGCTTGTGGTTGGTTTTATAAGAGGTTTTTATTTGCGTATAGAGCTGTTTGGGAGGAAATATTTTAATTAGGTAGCAGGATCGATTCGTAAGAAAATAGTCTTTGAAGAATTATATGACTTGAACTAATCTGGACTCTTTTTCCCAGATGAAATTGCTGATAGGATGAGAATGGATGCTGGAGAAATAACTTTAGTGAACCATAACTCCATATGCAAAACCCATCTCCTGTCACAAACAGGTTTTCCAGAGGACCAGCTTTCACTTTCTGACCATCAGGTTAGGAACAGTTTTATTTCCTGAATTAATAAATTGTTTTGGCTTAAATTTTTATGTCATATGGTTTAAATCCCACACTGAAAATACAAGGGTATTTGTAAAGTTTTTCAGAATCAGTACTTCCAATATTGGAATTCTGTTTGCTGTGTTAAAATTAAGACGGGTGTTCGGGATGGTAACCTGGGTTAGGTGCCATGGTAAGCGTGTCACAAAGTACAGTTCTTACAGATAACATAATTACGTACATACAAATTCTTTTAAACTAGTTATCTCAGAGTTGCTGAGAATTAAGTGGGTGAGGGTAAAATATTAGCATATAGATAAAACCAGGTTGATTTTGGTCAACCTCTTTGATATATCGTACAACTTGCTTTTAGAACAGGGTTCAGTGAATTCATACTTAACTTCTAATGAACATCCTTTGAGTTGATTATGATACTGAAACAGTGGGTACTTTGTCCTCATTTTTCCGTAAGCCTAACACATTTTTGTAATTGTATCTTTTCCTTTTTTATTAACATGCAGCTTAATTTATAACACATGCAAATATGAGAAATATTATTATCACTTTATTTGTTATGAATGTGATTTAAGAAAAATCTTCTCCTTTGTTAGATTTTACCTTCCAGACAAGGAAATTTGGACCCATCTTTTACATGTTCCACAAGAAGTGCAGCTTATAATCCAAATTACTATTCAGGTATGATACATTACTTGGAGTCAAGGCAATTTTTCCTTTCAGGTTTCTCCACATTATTGTGTTTATCATTGCTAAAGTAAAAATAACAAAAGCAAAGTGGAATTTTCTCCACTAAAGCATCATTTTAATGAACTCATCGTCACTGTACACACATGTGTGGTTGCTGTAATATTTCTTTAGTCTCAACCAAACACGGATATTTTAATGATACAGGTTTCCTATTGGAAGAATAATCCATCATCTATTATGCTATTGTAATGAACAATACCGTTGTGTTTTGCCTGCTTGCCTGCCTGCCTGCCTGCCTGTCTTCCTTCCTTCCTTGCTTCCTTCCTTCCTTCCTCCCTCCCTCCCTCCCTCCCTCCCTCCCTCCCTCCCTCCCTCTCTCCTTCCCTTCCTCCCTCCCTCCCTTCCATGTTTGTAATGTAAAGAATATTTTTTTATATTGATTTAAAATGTAAATGTGTGTATTTTGCTCGAAATCTTGAATCCTGAAAATTAAATTTTACCCAAGCTTGTCCTTTCATCAGGGCAGGATTTATTACTTGTTTCTCTCTGTACCTGCCACAGCCATGCTTGCATATTTCCAGGGCTTCCTGTTCAGTTTGTGACCCGTGACAGAAGGCAGCATTCTCTAGGCTATTTCTAACCTCTGGCCTGTCTGTCTTTCCCTCTGCCCCTTCCTAAGACTTGGACTTCCAGTCATCTTGTTTCTCTGTCTCAGGGAAAACGAAGAGTGTTTTTGTGGTTAGCCTCCTGCCAATAAACCCAGGATGGCAAAAACCTCCCCATGTTTTATCACTCCTCATTGTTTTAATCTTCTCACTTTAATCACAAATTTGGTAATACTAATAATATAATTGAACGTTCATCAATGGAATTTTCCTAAGGATTAGTTGAGGTCCTATGAAATGCAAATAATCATTGTTATTTGGCTCCTCAGGATTGTTTATCAGGAAGATGAGATCTCCCTTAAAAAAGACATCAGCATGATGATCTTTTAGAGTCTTACTTAAGTGTCGTATAAGTGTGTGGTACTGAATTGCCTTTTTTTGGGTAGTAATGGGCTCCACAGAATATTGTGTAATTTATACAGAAAAAGGGCAGTTAATTTGCACAGAAATTAACTGTCATCATAGTTATCGAAAAGATCTTTCTGATGGACAGTGAGTCTGAAAATCTGGTTTATTAATTTTTTTTTGCTTTTTTGGGTCACACCCATGGATGCACAGGGGTTACTCCTGGCTCTGCACTCAGGAATTACTCCTGGCAGTCCACGGGGGACCATAAGGGATGCTGGGAATCGAACTTGGGTTGGCGGCGCGCAAGGCAAACGCCCTACCCGCTGTACTATCGCTCCAGACCTGCGGTTTATTAATCTTAAAATATATAAATGGTTTATAAAGGCAGGTTATTCATAGTCTGCGCTCAGCTTTTGTGGGTTTATAATTTTGATTAGATAGACATAACAATTGCTTAATAAGAACTATATGCAAAATATCCTTATCATAACTCAGTTTTTATTCAAGATGAAGAATAAAGAATAGAAAATAACAAAGTCTTGTTATTTTAGAAATTTGTTAGAAAATAACAGTCTTGCTGAAATGGGGGTGCTGAGTTCTTAGATTGATTCTTTATATTGTAGCCTGAAGGAGAGCCAAATTGTATAAGTCCCTGGCCAAACAAACTTTTGGTCAGGACTTCTTCCCAGATTTCTAAGGTTGCTCCTTAACAATGAGAAATTTGAATTTGTGAATGCCAAGAATCTATATACTTTTTTCCCCTTAGAAAGTCTCAAATTCATTCATATGTATTTTTTTTTTACTTTATACTTTTTTTTTTTGTTTGCTTTTTGGGTCACACCCGGAGATGCTCAGGAGTTACTCCTGGCTTTGCACTCAGGAATCACTCGTGGCGGTGCTCGGGAGACCATATGGGATGCTGGGAATCGAACCCGGGTCAGCCACGTGCAAGGCAAATGCCCTACCCGCTGTGCTATTGCTCCAGCCCCCAACCTTATACTTTTAAAGGACTGTAGTGATAGCACAGCGGGTAGGGCATTTGCCTTGCATGCGGCTGACCTGGGTTTGATTCCTCCCGTCCTCTCAGAGAGCCCGGCAAGCTACCAAGAGTACCCTGCCCGCGCGGCAGAGCCTGGCAAGCTCCCCGTGGTGTATTCAATGTGACAAAAACGGTAACAAGTCTCACAAGGGAGACGTTACTGGGCCCGCTTGAGCAAATCGATGAACAGCGGGAGGACAGTGCTACAGTGCTGTACTTTTAAAAGCTTTGTTTCTTTGTCATGTCCTTTCCAATCTCAGCCTACAGAATTTTCTCTCTGCCATCGCCTTTGGTTATTTCTTTCTGATGATCCCCACATTTACTTTTATGTTCAGTCACTTCTTTGAGGGAGATGGATTTGGTCACTCCAAGCAGTGCCCAGGGCTTACTCCTGGCTCTGTTCTGAGATTGCGCCTGGTAGTTCAGGGGACCGCAGTGTGATGCTGGGGATTTACCCGAGTTGACTGCGTGCAAGGCAAGCACCAAAACCCCTGTACTACCGCTCTTGCTCTGTTTCCTCTTCTTATGCCTGGTCTCCCGATTAAACAGAGTCCCAGTTTACTTGCCTTCATTTTATTCTGACTCTTCTCTCAGCCGACTGTCTTCTCTTCCACTAAGAGGAAAACTTCAGTATTTAGGGTCTGAAACTTAACTTTCTAACTGCTTTACTGGACCTAGGTATGGTCATACAGTTTAGTGCATATGTCTTATGTGTGTGAGGCCCTGTAGTCTATCCTTGGCCCTGAAAAGTGTTTAGAAAGTGGAGAAAATACAATACTTTAATGACTTTGTGATGGAGTTTGAGTTTTTATTAAGAGGTTGATTAGAAAATGAAAGTGTACTTTACACAAGGAAAGTAGATTGAGACAAATTATTTTACTCATGCTTGGAATCATTATTACTGTTTTATCTTTAGGAAATAAATTAGGTTGCCAAATTAACATTTTGTAGGCAAGATGTTTTAAGAGTATTGTTCAAATTAGTAAATCTTAAGCAGTTCATTTCATGGTTAACTTTGATAAGTGGCTACCCGACATACTTCAGTGTGTTATTTGTGTGTGTGTGTGTGTGTGTGTGTGTGTGCGCGCCCCGCACTTTGTAGGGCTGGAGCGATAGCACAGTGGGTAGGGTGTTTGCCTTGCACGCAGCCGACCCAGGTTGGATTTCTCCACCCCTCTCAGAGAGCCTGGAAAGCGACCGAGAGTATCTTGCCCGCAAGGCAAAGCCTGGCATGCTACCTGTGACGTATTCGATATGCCAAAAACAGTAACAACAAGTCTCACAATTTGTTGTGGGATGTTTCTGGTGCCCGCTCGAGCAAATCAGTGAACAACTGGAAGACGATGCTATATGCTATGCAGAGCAGTGCTTAGGACTTGCTCCTGTCTCTGTGCTCAGGCTTCATCCCTGGCAATGTTGTGGTGGACCATATGTGGTGCCTGGAACTGAGCCAGGGCTCTCTGCATACAGGGCAAGGACTTTAACCCCTCTGCTATCTATGTGACTCCAGAGAAACTTTTCAAAATACAAAATTTATTGCATATATTCATTACTTAGATACGTGTGTTGGTATATACGTGTGCACAGTGATCTTATTTGTAGCACTTATAGCATTGATTCATTAGTGATGACAGAACACTACTTTAAACGTTGGTCTTAAAAAATCATCTGCAACCTACAGCTCACTCTTTCCCTGCTTTGCTTACTTATATCATTCAGTCATTTTATTGGGTGGGGATAGAACTACCTGATTCTGTAATGGTGCCTGGTTCTGTGCTTTTGCCCTTCCATTTAAAAGCTGAAGCTACTTCAGATGCTATTCAAGAGGCTAATCTTCCTATCCTTGGACTCAAATATCATACCTGTCAGTAGGATTCACATTTTTGGCAGACCTTTTTCTTACCTAGACATCTCTGATTAGATTAATTCCTAATCAAATTTTAGCCCAAAAAGTGTGAGTCAAGGACTACTGCTGTTACTGTTTTGTATTCAAAGGTAATATTTTTTTTTAATTCTTTAATGTGATTCATCTTCATCATCCTTGTAGCTCTATCTTTAAAGTAATACAAATAGATGTTTGGTGTAGATAGTGGTTACAAAAGGAAAGATTATAATTTCTTTTGAGTATAGTAGGTTAGGCTCACTTACTGATAAGTTATCTGTGCTAATACCACCCTTAACTGCTGCCTTTTTCTAATTTCTTTACTTAAATCTTGATAATCATGACCTATTGAAACATACATGTGTATGTGTGTGTGTATATATACACATATATATATTAGTAAATCTTAAGTGATTTATTTCATGGTTATATATGTGTATATATACATATGTATACACACATACACACACGCACATATATGAAACATGTCTTTTTTGGATAGGGTTCCAAAAACTTCATTAAATATGTTAAATAGCATAAATATAGAATGTGCAAATTTTTATACTAATATGCTTTGAAAGAGGATCTTCAAAATGATGTCAATATTGATGTCAATATTGGGCACGTATTCAATAATAAGAGAATTATTTGTCATTTTTCCAGTTGCTGACTCTCCAGTTTATAACTTCACATATTTTCAAGGTGCTATTTTAAGTGATCTAATCCTTCTGATAAGTAGAGGTGGGCACAGAAGTTATTTTATTTCTAGCTGAAACTTGAAGAGGTTTCTGTTACCACTGTTCGGAAACCACAAGTCATCAAATTCAGATAATTAAATGAAAAATCACTTAGTCTGATAGCAGTAGCAAATCTTGAAGTATTGATTTGTCTGATCATTATGACATGAAATGATTGAAGGTTCTCATGCCAGAACCAACCAGATGGGTCATCCCGGCCAGTAGCCAGCCAGAATCAGCAGCAATTAGGTTCTCTGCTCCTAGAGAAAACCCCTAAGCTGTGAACATGGTAACTGAAGACAGGAAAGTGACAACCAGCTGCTTCTTAAGCAATAAATGTTGTTCATTTGAATTACAATTCTCCTTGGCCCTCCACCTTTTTTCTTACTGGTCTGGCCTACCTTCTTTCAGGCCCAGGCCTGGGAGTGCTTGCAAGATATAGTTGGGGTAAAATGTTGACTTTTGGTGGACACCACGGAGTCACATTGATGCAGATAAGGCACATGGCTGTGGCAGGATTCAGCTTCTTCATCAATTTTCAGGTTAGTATGGCAGAATCAACTATAGTTTGTAGAAAAATTTCCTTACTGCAGACTTTACTGGCAGTTGAGACTGGGATCTTTCTTCCATGAGAGACATGATGAAGTGCCACGTTACTTTGGAATACCATTTTCAACATGGTTGCAGTCCTTTGGAGAACCAGTGGAAGGTATTTAACTTACTCAAATTTTTATGTTTTAGACAACCCTTCCTCAGAGAGTTTCCTCGGCTCAGAAGACTTAAGAAACTTTGGTAAGAGTGCAAATGGCCAGTGGAGAAATTCCACTCCAGCATCTGGATCAGCTTTGCAAAAATCAAGAAACAGCCGAAGTCTTTACCTCGAAAACCGAAAGACCTCTGGGTATGTATTCTGGCTGCTTAGTTTAGAAGTCCAACCTCATATATAAGAAAAAGTGGTTATAAGACAGCTGTTACAATGGCATTTTGAAAGATTGGCACCTTATTTTGACCTAAACACCAAAAAAACAGACAGACCCATTTCAACTCTTAACTTTCTTGGTGTTGAATTTTGGTGACAGACAAACGCTACTAATTAGAGGAGAGAGTTTTTGAGGGAAATATTGAGGGCTCATCTGGATCACTGCGGCTATTAAGTATCTTAAGGTGAGTTTTCTTATTTCTGTAGCTTTAGTAGCAATGAAACTAGCTCATTTTACAGACTTACATGAGAAGGGATTTGACTTAAAGCATCTCTTTAAGTTAAATTAAGTCAGCTAAGCTTTTTTTTTTTTTTTTTTTTTTTGCTTCTTGGGTTATACCTGGCAATGCTCAGGGATTACTCCTGGCTCTGCACTCAGGAATCACTCCTGGCGGTGCTCTGGGGACCATATGGGATGCTGGGAATCGAACCAAGGGCGGCTACATGCAAAGCAGACACCCTACCCACTGTGCTATCGCTCCAGCCCCAACTCCTAAGCTATTTCTTAGAAAATCAACTCATGAAGAACTGATTATACTTAGGCCAAATTCATAAGCCCTACCTACACTGTTATAATAATAAAAGTAAAATGCTTCTTTTTGTAATACTACTTATGACAGTTAAGAATCTCCTGGGTCTGTGAGGTGGTTCAAAAGGCCGGAGTGCATGCTTTGTGTATGGGAGGGCATAACGTTTCGTGGCACCCCAAACCCCACCAGAGAGGACTCCCAAGCAATGAGCTGAAGAGCAGCCTCTGTGTACTTCTGGATTTGACCCCCAAAACCAAAATAAATAAAAGTCAACTTTGATTCATTTTAGGCATATTGGATCATTTCATTTTCTGCTTAATCTATGCTAAGCTTTCTGGTAGTTGAAATCACAGACACGCAAGATAGCTTTTTCAACACACGGGCTATACAAGCAGTAATATGTTTCAGTACTATCCAAGAGTCATCTTTCCCAATTAATTTTTTTCTTTACTTTTTGGGGGAGTGGGGATGCGGGGGATTGAGCCACACTCGGCAGTCCTCAGGGCTTGTTCCTGACTCTGTTTAAGGATCACCCCTGGCAGTGCTCTTGGGAGATCATATGCAGTGCAGGGGATTGAATTAGGGTCTCCTGCATACAAGGCACATTCTTTAAACCCTGTACTATCCAGTCCTCAACTTAATCTTTTAAAAATCGTACAAGAACTCATTCATACATCCTCATTATAAAAATGAGAACATGATAGTAAAACTTACGAGTACCTCTTTGGTGTGTTTCCTTTCAAACTTTTTTTGGTGCTTTTTTCTCTCTCTTTTCTCTTCTATGTAAAGTGTATGATATTTAGACTTTGGCTTATATGTTATTTTGTATTAAAGAGTAACACTGCAGAAGTTGTACATATGCTTTCAAAACATTATAAAGTACAGATAAATAAAAATAAAGGTACCTGTAGCACTGTCCTCCCGTTGTTCATCGATTTGCTCGAGAGCGCCCAGTAACGTCTCCATTGTGAGACTTGTTGTTACTGTTTTTTGGCATATCGAATTCGTCTTAGGGAGCTTGCCAGGCTTTTTCGTCGGGGTGAGATAGGTTCTCCGAGAGGGGTGGAGGAATCGAACCCTGCTTGGCCTGGCTGGCCGCGCACAAGGCAAATAAATGTCCTACCGCTGTGCTATCGCTCCAGCCCGTGAATGTGAAGACAATCTGGCTGCGACATCTGTCACCCCGTTGATCACCAGGGTTGATTCGGCTGATCTGGCTGGCTAGGCAGGTGTCCCCTTCCTCCTGCACCTCTCCGTGTGCATCCCTCCCGAAGCTGTGTGCTCAGTCGAAGAGGTCGGCCTTCCCCGAATAGGGATGGACCGGTTTTTGGTCAAGGGTATGTGAGTAGCTGCGCTCCCCTGCTAGAACCTCCAAAAAGCGCGCAAAGGTACCACATTGCCATAATATCTTGGTACAGATCCTTCTAGATATTTTTTCTATGGATTTACAAATTTTAAAAAATAGCTTTATAACTGTACATAATCTTTTATAATCTGATTTCTAGTCTTCAAATTCAGGAAAAATATTTTATCACTGAACTGTGTTTTAGAAATTTTTAGAAATTTCTAGTGGACACAGTAGTTTGTCCAAATCAATATTAATCTGAGCTTGCATCTCGTAGTTATTATCCATATTCTATATAATCTATAATATACCCCCTGCACCCTAAATTTTTTAAATCATTTTTGTTGCAGCACTAAGATTATAATACTGTTAATTATACTTTTAATGCATCCATCATTTTGACCCCACACCCACCAGCAGAGAGCTGCTTCCCTCCGCCAGGTCCCGAAGACCCCCTCCCCCATGCAGGTGCTTCTCTACAGACAAAATCTTTCGTTCCAGCGACAGCCCCTTTCCAATTCTGCTTCATTGTTTGTTTTGTTTTGGAGCCACGCCCTGCTGCGCTCTGGGCTTGCTCCTGACCAGTCCTGGAGGTGCTTGAGAAACCCTGTGGTCAAACCTCAGCCAGCTGTGGGCAAGGCAGACCCCCTGCCTACTAGACGCCGTCTCTGGTCCCCCACCCCCGGGCCTTCACCCGCCCCGACTTCTTGTGTTCTTGGGCCTCGCCCGTATGTGCACAGGGCTTTCTTCTGGGGCTCTGCACTCGGCCATTTCTCCCGGAGGGGTGGCCACATGGAAGGCAGGTGCCTTATCTGCTGTACTCTCTCTAGTCCCTTCTTTTGTTCTTATCCCTCTATGCAAATTAGATTTTTGACTTATAAAATATTAGGAAACGTACAGTGATCACATCTTCTGTCATTAGTAATAGTGAATTGACCTCTGAATTATGGAGATACAGTTTGGTGTATAGTTAGGTTTAATTTCTGTAGTTAGGTTTTTCCTCTGCAACAGGGATAAACCTAAATGATGTTATTTGGGTATTAATGTGAGTGACAAGTTTCACATCAGCTTTAATGGTTTCTAATATCAATTGATATTAACAATTAGGTTTCTACCTTCACATAATGGCGATTTTATAGCATTTTATGAAATAGCATTTTTCTGATTTTATTATATCTTTTTCACATATTAATTGCCACTCAGCTATGAAGGAAAGGTTATTTCCGTGATTAACTGGGAATATTTTGTTGTCCTCGAATATATTTCCTAGTAGGAACGGAGTAATGATTAGCTTTTTTTCATTACTGATACTCAAAGTTAGTTTTTGAATGGCCACTTCATGTGGTTCAAGTTAGTTTTTCTGGTTCTGCCATTGTGGGTTCCTTGTGTTTTAAACCAGAGTTATCATTCTTTTTATTTGCGGGGAGATAGAACTCATGTGGCGCTCAGGAAGCCTCTACTGAGGATTCCTAACTTGCTGAGCCAGTGGTTCAACGCAGTGGTCTTGGATAGAGTGCAGCTCCAGCCAGGCAGTACTGAGTGGTGCCAGGGGGCTCCCAGGGTTGCATCTGGTGGTACGCAGGGAGCCACGTGGACTAGGATCAAACCATGGCCGTCTTTTGTAAGGCATGCACCTTAACTCCTCCATCTCTTCAGCCCAAATCATCGTTCTTTTAATGTTCAGATTATTAGTGCTTATTTTCTCAGGCTTACTTCTGTGTCCCACTCAATCTTATTAATTATTGGTAGGAATTGCTCTCAGGGACTTATTCTTGTAAGGTGTTTGCCCTTAATTGTTGGTAGGATTATTATTATTTTTTTTTTTGGTATTGCAAGACGGCCTCATCTTTGAGGTGGGAAGCACACTAAGCTATGCCCAGAGCTGCTGATTCTGCACTTGGGGTTCACTTCGGACGGTGCTCAGGGGACTATATGAGTGCTGGGGATTGAACCAAGATCATTGTCAGCAAAACAAGTACCCTACCTGCTGTACTGTCTCCTCAGCCTCCCTTTTTGCGTTACTTTTAAAAAGTCATCTCTTGTAGCAAACACACTGTCTTATTCTAGGAAGCATAAATTTAAGAGACATGCAAAACGTAGTACACCTTTACCAAAGAATGTTGCCCTTGCCATTTTCGTTCTGCATCTTTTCTTCATGTGAGAAGAAGCTCATTCCTGAAGTTAGGAGTTCTTGCTTCTTTCTCCACTCTGACTCACATAGAAACCATACATCGGAAGAGTCGGGGAACATGTGCTGCTTTCGTTTTCTTTAGGCCTGTTCTGATTCCATGTGGGTCCAGATTACACATACTGATTTTAAGAACCGATTTTATTGAGTTCAATTTATTCAACTCTGTATTTTGTGACCTCAGCCAAAAAAAAAAAAAGAAAGAAAGAAAAAGAAAATTGCCATTATGCTGAGGGCTGGTACTTCAGACTTGCTGTAATAATAGCGATAAGAACTTCGTTAAATGTCTTCAGTTTTATCCATTTCCTCCAGAGGTCTTGGAGGAGGGAGCTGCTTAAAGTAGAAAGCACATGTTTGTGTTAACATATTTAGTTCACAAATATTCTAATCTGACATGCTATCTGCCATGCCACACTGTCGGAGTTCCACCTGGCGCAGCTTCCTAAGCATCTTGACTGCTGGGCTTGTGTAGAGAGACCCTGAGTCCTGGCCTGAGAGGGTGAGCTGTTGCCAGGGGAACCAGCATTCCCCAGCAACCAGCATGGCTCAGTGGCCTTACAGCTGCCTGCGGCCAAGGTTGGAGAGAGGGAGAGTGGACACCTGTAGTGTCTGCAAAGCTGCGCCTTCTCTGCATTAGCTCATAAGCCCCGTGACACCGTGTGACACTTCGTCCCATTGAGCCCTTATAAGCCATAGATTCCCCTTCCTCTTCCCATTTAAGGATTCGAACATAATGCGTTCTTTTCTGCCCCTGCCTGACTATTATCCTCGCTTAATAAATTTTGCCATGTGACCATAAGTACGTGACCGCATTGGATGGCCCCTCCCAGCTTATCCATGGTGTGCTTGTCTTGAAACCATCAGCCCTGGGTCGCATAACAGTTTCTGTTTTCCCAGGTCTCGTAGCTGCACCAACAGCTATACCACACAGACTCTGTTTCTTCTTTGTTTTTGTTCTGGGGTCACCGATGGTGCTCGGGACTTAAATCCTGGCTCTGCTCAGGGATCATTTCTGGTGGTGCTCAGGGTGCCATATTATAGAGTGCCGGGAACGCAACATGGTCGGCCACGTGCAAGGCAAGAATCCTGTCCATTGCAGTATTATTCTGGCCCCACGATCCCGTTCATTCCTCACCAAAGGAACTTGGAGATTATGAGGATAAGAAATAAAATTGTAGTTGCTTGGTAATTAAATAATTTGACACCACTAAGAGCTCATAAGTGACAGAACTGGATGTAGCAGCTCATGTTGTCTACAATTTCCCTGAAATGGTATATCTATAATTCTACTTGCTATGTCTTGCTTTTGCTGTACCTTAAAAGTGAAAGTCGTAGGTTAGATGTTCTTATTTATTGTTACTTTTCTCACAAACTTTTATTTTAGTGGATTGGCAAACACTTTTGCGGGGAAGTCAAACCATCATTGCCATGTGTCTGCATATGAAAAATCTTTTCCTATTAAGCCAGTTCCAAGTCCATCCTGGAGTGGTTCATGTCGTAGAAGCCTTTTGAGCCCCAAGAAAACTCAGAGGCGACATATTAGTACGGCAGAAGAGGTAAGGAAAGCCCGTAACGAAAACTGTCAAAGATGAGCTTGTCTCCCAGTATTCAGCTTTCATGTTTTCATTTTAGGTACTTAGCCATTCTTTTTTGCTTACTCCTTTCTGCGCTGCTTCTTTCTTTACATTTGTTAATTTTGTGTGTGTGTGTGTGTGTGTGTGTGTGTGTGTAGTAAATCATTTTATTTAAAGAAATATGCTTAGTAGAGAAATGTGAAAGGAGAAAGAACGAGATATTTGCCCAAGAGACAATGTGAGCTTTTCCAGATAGAGAAAAGTTGCTTCATACCTACTTTGAATGATATTTTTTCTAAAGAAATTAAAGAAATATTTCAGCAGACAATAATTCTGATGCGGGTTTGGACTTGGGGACCGTACTTTGTAGTTCCTCGGGGGCTACTGCTGTTGTGGAGCTCTGTGATTGAACGCAGCCTGACGCTTACGTGCTTGAGCCCGTGGATCTATCTTCCTAGCCCAGCCTTTCATAATTTACATGAACATATTCTATACCTGTTGAACATCAAGTTTAATCTTCAGTGTTGTTATGGCTTCTACAGCAAGCTCTCTTCTCCCTCTCTCTTTATTTTTGACCCTTCCCAGACTGCTTCATGTGGCAGAACTGTCAACCTAACTTGATATAATGAAGTATCTGCCCTCATCATTAGGAATATTTTTTCTTAATATAAAAGAAAATTAATGAGGCCAGTTAAGTTATGGTCTTTCATTAAGAGTAATATTTTTAAGGGCCAGAGAGATAGTGCAGGGGTTAGATGCTTGTCTTGCATGCAGCCAATTGTTCTTCAGTCTCCAGCACTGCGAGGCATTATCCCTGAGCACAGAGCCAGGAGTAAGTCTTGAATACCACAAGGTGTAACCCAATGACTTCTCTCCAAATGAATTTAAGAGTGAATAATATTTTTAACATCACTGACTTTCCCCGAAAGAAGGATGTTCTTTCAACACTTGGGTGAATTCAATAAACCTAAAGGAAAGACCATTTTGTTAACATGTTGATACTAGTTCATAGCATTGGTGGCTCACACTTTTTAGATTATGGCAATACAGAAATACTGTAATAACCTTAACACCAGCAAAAGAAGCAACAGAAATGTTTTCTGTTGTCACATTTCATAATACACTTTAAGTTGATGTCATTCAGCAAAGCAGAGCACTACTAATGAAGTCATCAGGTTACACAAATTACAGTGCAATGTTAATATGAATCAGCATGTAATTTATACAATAGGAAATGAGCCTATACCTGTTCAACTAGATACTTACCATGTATCTGTCAACTCCGTGCTGCTTACTGCTTGCTGCGGTAATGCATAGGAACGAGTGATCGTACATTTACATGGCATTCAGGTTTTTACTGTGCTTTCACATGTATTATTTTTTTTAAGCTGTGAACTAGAGATGAGGTAATATCTGTATTTTACAGATCTGGAAAATAAAGGTCAGAGAGTAAACATCTAGGCATGGTCAGCCTGCGGCCAGGTCCTCTGAAGGAATCTAGTCTGATACCCTCTGTTTTGTAACATAGTGATGTGGTTCCTGCCATTAGCGCATACGTAGATCATGGAGTCACGAATGCAGCATTCCCTGGTGAATTATTATATGTAATTATGTAGTGAAGATTTCTTAGGTGGGAAAATCTGGTTATTTGTGACATTTTGCAGGGGGTTGCTAAATTTGCATTGAATCTTAAATATTCGAGCCTATACCTGTTATACCTATACCTATACCTGAGAATGGTAGAACTAGTAATCATATTAAGTACTGGGGAAGGGATAGGCAAGAGACCTGTAATATTTGCATTTGCCATTGTTGATAAGAGCCGAGCGACAGTTACAAGAGGGCGATTTTTCCCCCCACTACACTTGTATACTTTTTATTTTAGTACCAGCTATCTCTTAAGTGTTTCATTCATAAATGTTTGATTTTACTCTGGGGCCACTGTTCAGGGCTTATTTCTGGCTCTGTGCTCAGATCAATCCTAGCAGTGCTGGGAGAACCGTATGTGTTAACAGGGGTCCGACCAGTGCCAGACAAGTGCAAGACAAGTGCTGTACCCCTGCACTGTCCCCAAGCTGTCAGGTTTTTCAGAGTCACCGGAGTTGTAATACTCCTGCTTTTACTAGATCCTAGGCAGCCTGGTACAGGCTGGTACAGAGAGACTTCTGGGGAAGAAGAGACGGCAGCAGACTGGTAGCTGGGTACCGAGGTTCCCAGAATGACATGGTTGTCACCCCCTTTTAAAATCACTCGCTCTGGGCTTACTCTTGTCTCTGTGTTAAAGGACTGAACTTCTGGTGGGCCTTGGGGAACCCTATGGGGTGTTGGGGATCCAACCCAGCTCAGCCTCCTGCAAGACAAACGTCCTGCCTGCTGTACTGTCGCTCTGGCCCCTTCTTTGCATTTTACTTTGGAAAATGTTCTATAAATTATATGTCCTATATGGCATTTTAACTCTATGTTGTATGTGTTTTGTTTCGAGACCGCAGCCAGGGGGAGGATATGCTGAGCAGGGCGTCAAGCTCAGTTGGCCGCATGCAAGGCAAGCCCCTCGCAGCAGCCATACGGTCTCTCCAGCCTGGTTTTTGTGATTGTTTGCTTACTTGAGGGCCATACCTGGTTGTGTTCAGCCACTCACCAGTTGATACTTGCATTGCTGGACTGGAGTGATTTTACAGTGAGTAGGGTATCTGCCTTGCACGTAACTGGCCTGGGTTCAATTCCTGGCACCCTGTATGGTCCCCCAAACTTCATCAGTAAAGATTCCTGAGTGCAGAGCCAGTAGTAAGCCTTGAGCACTGCCTGTGTGGCTGAAAAAACAAAACCAAACCAAACCAAAAAGACTTGTTTGCTCAGAAAACCGTGTGGTGCTAGAGACTGGGCGAACCAACCCGAAGCCTCCTCTCTGCAGACCACCAGGGCCCTCCAGCCCATTGTGCTATGTCTCTGGCCTGTCTTTAAGTCTAAAGTGGTCCTGTGTGAAGTATGACATACCCAGTGTTTTTCCTTTTTTGATAAGTCCCAGAACAAAAAAAATGCCTTGCCTCAGAAGAGATAAATTCTTTTGCCTTTCATTAATGTGTACAACATGAAATCCATTTAACCTTTTTTCTGTAATTGCTTTCTTAAGCCATAAATTAGTTTAAGCTGAAAGTATGAAGCTTGGTACTTCCTTAGTGAAGACAGATTTCTACTTGGAATAAGAAGCATTCGTTTCTAGTTTATGTTGCCTACTGACTTTGATATTCACGCTCATCTTTCTTTGACGCTTTATTAATTGGTGGGAATGATTTGTGGGATTTTTTGCTTGTTTTAAATTGTTCTTTAAAAAACTAATTTCTGGGCCTGAGTGATAGTACGTTGGATGTGGCACTTGCTTTGCGGTCAACCTGTGTTGGATCCTCGGCATCCCATAGGGTCCCCCGAGCACTGCCAGGAGTAATTCCTGAGTGCAGAGCCAGGAGTGACCCCTGCACATCTCCAGGTATGACCCCAAAACAAACCAAGAAAAATCCATTCCATGCAGACTGGAGATAGAATTCCTGAGTTTAGGTGCTTGCCAGCCTTTCTTATGGCTGACCCAGTTCCATTCCCGTACTGTATAGTCCCCTGAGCACTGCCGGGAACAACCCCTGAGTACAGAACCAGAAGGAACCAGAAGGAACCCCAAGCACTGCCGTTTGACCCTGCTCCCTGCTACTGATCAGTTCCTTACGTTGAATATACATTTCTCATCATTTTAATAGCTGAGTCACTGAATGGAATTTTGGTTTTTTATGTCTTATGTGTAATTTTTTTCCTAACGAAATATTTTTCTACCCAGTGAGAGGGAGAGGAGAAGTGTTTCACTTTTGTTGTTTTTGTTACTGTCTGGGATACCAGGGACCAAATCCAAGGCCTCATCCAAGTGAGGCATATTCTGTGTCTGTGTCATTGAGATATTTCAAGTTTCTGTGACTTTTTCGTTCAGTTTTGTAAAAAATTTCAGTATCATAAAGTTGTTGGTTATAATCAATCACATTCGAAATGTCAACGCCAGTCCCACCACCATTGCGCCCTCCCACCACCACGCAAGTCTGCCGCGCAGGCGGATGCTGGGTGGTTTATTCTGAATCGCTTGTTACGAATAGTGCAAGATGCCAGGCCTTGTTCAGTTTTTCATTCCTGGTTTTGTTTCTGTTTGTTTTGCACCACACTTGAGTACAAGGCTTGTTTCTACTCTGAGCTCAGGGATCACACCTGGTGGCACTTGGGGAACTCCGTGGGGGCTGGGGATTGAACCTGGGCTGCCTGTATGCAAGGCAAGTGCCCGTTGTACTGTCTCCAGCCCCAGTGTTCTTCTTTTTCAGTTTGTGTGGTTTTGTGCCACATGCAACAGTTCCAAGGGCTTATTCCTGGCTCTGCTCAGGGGTCACTCTTGTGGTGCTCAGAGACCATATGAAGTGTGTGCCAGGGATCAGGGACTGAACTGGGTCATCTGCGTGGAAAGGCAAGTTTGCCTCAATTCCTGTGCTATCCCTTCGGCCCTGACCAGGTTTTTTGTTTGTTTGTTTGTGAATTACAAAGTTAGAAAGGTATTCATTGTTGAGTTTCAGTTCTACACTATTCCAACACCAGTTCCTTCTTAGTTGTTCACTTCTCTTCACCCCAAGTTGGTATTTATTTATTTATTTATTTTTTTATCATTATTGAATCATTGTGAGAACAGTTACAAAGCTTTCAGGTTTAAGTCTCGGTCATACAATGGTCAAACACCCGTCCCTTCACCAGTGCACATTTTCCACCACCGAGAACCCCAGTATACCCCCCCACCCCTTCCCCTGCCAATATGGCAGATGATTTCCACTTTACTCTCTCTCTACTTTGATTACATTCAATTTTTCGACAGAAGACCTACCCTTATTATTTGGACTTTCCCCCCAACATTCAGACCTGCTGAGAAGGCATCATTAGATAATTTGTTTTGTATTGCTGATAATAAA